AGTGTAATATCGCATAGCATTTCGTGAATTCTGGGGTGTAAAAGAAGTTATTTGACGGAGTGGTGTGAAAAAGAAAGAATAGATATATAATGGGGTGAAAAAGATTTTGACCCAAAATATAATATCCCTATGCTTCGCATTATTTCTTTCTGTCCAGGTGGCCAAAGGATAGATAGATAGATAGATAGATAGATAGATAGATAGATAGATAGAAGAGATAGATAGGTTGACAACAAAGATAGATAGATAGATAGATAGATAGAAGAGAGAAATAATTTTTAAACAAGGCACCGGTAGTGTATCACTTAATTTTATTTGTTTGTCGTAGGGCATAGCATCCACTCCAAGAAGTTGCTTGCCGGTCTGAAATTTCTCCCTCTTTCCCTCTCTCTCTGTCATATATATATTTGGTTGCTGGTGACCTCCGAAACTCCAGTTTGAAAGCGTCATGGCTGGTGACCTCTTTCGAGATTTGCCGCCCCCGACTGAATGTCAAGAGGCTTCGACTCCTCAGGACTCGTGCCCGTTACCTCCGCCTCCTGCTTCTGCACTGAAGACCGCCCTCAAACGTCCCAGCTCACACTCGCAAGGTACTTTGCCCACCGAAAATTAGCTTTTTTTTTTTTTTTTTTATTTAACACTAATAATCTGTGTATTTTAACTATTCTTCAACTTTTAGGTTATGTGTATTATTTTTTTGGGATTTTGCCTCGGTATCGATTTGTTCCATAAAGGCGATTGCATTTGATTATTAATTGCTTTGACTAGTTAGTTTATCTATACCAGAAAATGCTGTTGTTTCCCCCCTAACTCAACCATATATGCAAGAAATTTTAAATGACCTATGTACGGCACAGCTGCTCCTGAAAAACGTTTGCGGTTTAAGACAACAACAGATGCCTCTGAGAAACAAGTTATTGAGGCCATGCAGAAAATAGCTTCACACATAAAGAATCCATCGAAGTTCACCAAGGCATCGAAGCTTGCAATACAGCTGATTCAGGCTGGTAGTGTCAAGGAAGAAACTAGCGACTATTTCTTTTCTATACTTGAAGCTTCAATGTCTTCTATAAAAAATTGCAATGAGCCCTCCGTGCGTGCTGATTATCATGCACTGTTCTCAGCAGCTCAAGATGTAGCTGAAGTAAGATATCAAGCTTCCCTGCCACAATTGTGAAACTCTACCGTCTTTAATGGGCCATACGACAGTTTTAACTAACTCTAATCTTGCAGTGCCTTAAAATGGAGCAGCGAAAATTGTTGAGTACATGGACGATAAGGGCTGTTTCTGCAAATGATCTGTTCACTGATGATAGCTTTGTAGTAAGTTTGTTTACTCGTCCTATGTAACTACTATAAATTTCACTGCCCTTGTTTTACCTGTTTTATGGATGTTGTTCTTTCATTTTGTTATTGCCTTTGTTTTCCAAACTTTTGCCTGGTATTTAACATGTTGGGACAAACTATACCGTCCAGAAAATAAATTTTACACTTTCAAGTTCTTGCCATCATGAACTTTTTTATTTTTTATGTTTTGCATAATGATTTTCTTACGAATATTGCATATGGTGATTTGGAATATACTACAGGACACAAAAAATCAAGTATTTTCCTAATATACCCTTCATGCTATTCACTTCCATGATCCTCTTTTGTTGATGTCCATGCTAATTAAATAAGGTAAAGTAACAATATTTCAACTATTCTATATAAATAAACACGTCCATGTTTGTGGAATGAACTGAAATAGGATTATTATATCAATTAACTTTCTATATCTGTGGCAAGGAGGGAGTAACTTTGAGTTTCTTTCTTTCTTGTTCAAAAAGGCTTTTTGGAGAATTTTTCATGAATAATGCAACATGTTGTGATAATTTATTTATTAATTTTCTGATTTATATAATTAGATTGTCAAAATCATATAAATGTTTTCCGAAATCATTTCCCCTACATGTTTGTGCGAACTTCCAAGGCTTCCAATGGTTGAGGCATGGACGTTTTTGTACCTTGGATACAGTTACATCAGGAGTATACACAATTCTGTTAGTGCTTTTTATAAAACCCCATTAGAAAAACTATAGAGTTGATAGGAAGTAGTTAAATACTTGCACTTCCATCTATTTTTAATTTAACAAATACAGTACGTATTCCTTTGACCTTTTTATTTGTTATAGGTGAGGAAGTGGGGAAACACTGTTAGTTTGACATAGGTTAGTGTTGCGAAACACTGTTAGTTTGGCATAGGTTAGTTACTCGACTTAGGTTAGTTACCGGAGTTTTATTGTGTATAAGTGTGGGTTAAGCACCTTTTTTGTTGAGCTAGCTTTTGGGGATTATTTCTGGCCAGACTTATTATCATAGTATCGAAGTACTCAAGTTTGTTTGTTTAAGGGCAATGTTGGATTTGGACCTAACTCATTTGAATTGACACATTTCATAGGTGAGTGTTAAAATTTACGAGTTTATGTTTCTCCCACACAGATTACCTACTGGGTAGTTATTGTATATAAGTGTGGGTTATGCATCCTCTAGCTTTGAACTAGTTTTTTAAAATGAGTTCTAGGTAGACTATTTATCACACAAATGCTTGTAACCAGTCGACTAGTTTAGCCCGAACTTTGACCCATTGAGAAATAAAGTGTCTTAAGTGTTTTGAAGTCAATTTATCTTGCCATGTTACCAGATTAGGCCACAAATTGAGGCGCTGGATGCGTTAGTTTCATTTAGACCTCACTCTCATTCAATAGAACCAATTCTGCAAAAAATAAATAAATAAATAAATAAATAAGCATGAGCAATAATATGCCTTTCCTGATGCCCACTGCCGATTGATTGGTCTCGTGATACGTTATTGGTTGTGTCAGAATTTGTATGTTCAGGTTATTGCTTAGAATTTGGACCATGTAAATCTCATAACAAATATGTGTTTTCATTGTCTCAGTCCTTACTTTGTAGGCCTAGAACACACGAACCAAACGATTGAAGTGAGAATCTTCAATAATTATAAAATGAATGCTGAATGAATGCAATATGCTTTTTTCCTTGAAAAGGGAGACTCGTTTTCTAATATAAAAAGGGCAAAAAAAATTGAACAAACGGGAGACAAAATGGAACAAGCTGAAAAGATAATGAAGAAAACGTTAACAAAGAGAAAACATGAACATATTTTTATTTGATGTCTTGGATGCTTCATACCTGTTATGGAGTTCAACAAGGTTTATGCGGAAGGAACTGAAGACTTTCATTAAGCAACGATGTCAAGGCAATGTAAAAACAAGTTATGAGTTTTTTGACTAAGTTACGTCCTTAATTGATACTTTCAAGAATCATCTTCTATTTGAATCGACTATTCCTTTCTCTCCTACAGACATTTGCACGATCCCTTCTTAGGAGATTTGCTCATCTCTTCTTACTTAGGAGTATTCTAGACCTACTTAAATGGTGAAACCTCCCTTTTTTCTTTTGCGACACGACCACATGCCTCATTTCTAAAGGCACCAACTGTGTGGTTGATTCTTGTGCATTAGCATGTAAATCAGACCTTTTTATCCACCTTTCATTCTCATGCACCATCTTCTCTTTTAATATTGCCGATTGCTCTACTCCTCATGTCCGTAGTTCTGGTTTTGTTCACCTTGCTTCATCTATTTCGGTACACTGTATTTAATTTGCCTAATTTTACCCTTAACTTATTCTCTGTCGTAAACTCTCTAAATCACCTAATTGTAGCTCTCATTCTTCTTGGATCGTGGATCATTTTATCTTCAGAATCCTTTGATGAAGAAAATCTTTGGTAAAGGTTGTGAATCTGGTGACCTCTATATTTTTTACTCCCCGACACCATAGTCACTTGTTTGCACCATATAGTCCTTCACACTTGAGATGCATTGTTATCATGGTCATAATTCTCTTTGACTACTATTCAAACGCTTCAAAGTGATAATGCAAGATAACTTTTGTCGACATCCTTACTATCTTATATGCTTGAAAATGGTATTTTGCTTTAACTATCATGTGTTGAAAATCAGACTGTTGAACATATGATTTGACACCTCCTTGAGGTTGTTCGGGCATTGTTATTTCACATGAAAGTTCCTAAAACTTTTTAGCATTGATGCCGTGTCCACTACTTGCTTCTTAATCAATTGCATGCGCTCATTATTCTTAGATAATACAGTTGCTTTTTGTCGTCATTTTACCAGATAAACCTGTATTTCCTTACCACCTAAGATTCTTCATAGTATGACTATTTGTTATGTCTGGGATACTCGACGTCATATCACTATAGATTCCAAATCTCTCAAATTTGTTTTTCTTGGGAATTCCAGTGTACAAAGAGGGTATTTTTTGTTTCTCATCTGCCCTAAATCGTCATATTGTATCTGGGAATGTAAGTTGCAACGAACATCTTTTTTTCCCTACTCGGGAGTCATTTTATTCGTATGCTCTGTTGCTATTAACCGAACCTCTTTCACCTCCTTCCCCCTCTCATCCAGAATCTTCTCCACTCCCGAGTACTTGACCACCCATTACTCAGATACATAACCGACGCTCCCGGCTGGTTACTTCTTTTGTTTTAGGCTAAATCTGTGTGGTAACAACAATTTTCCACCATCAGTGCCACACGCCGTGGCTGCCATGTTCATGGCGGCAGCAAAGGGCAAAGCGGCCACAATGCAGCCATAATATGGTGGCAAGTCTCCCATGCCATGGCCGTTATTTAACAACACTGACCTTGGGTCTGAAGCCCACTAATTTATTGTAGATATTATAACAATATAAATAGAATGGTGAATGGTCTGTAATAGGATGGCAATGGGATGATAAAAATTACCTCTTCTTTGCACATTTTTGTTATATAATGCTGTTGTGCATGTTGATGTACATTCATTCACTTGAAATGGAAGAGCTTTTCAATAGTTTATTTGAATTATATGTGATTATGCCAAGTTCAATGGTATGGATTACGAAGTGAGCAATGTAAGACATTAGGTTCTTAAATTTAGTTCAGCTACATGTCTGTACATTCAGTCAATGTTATATTTGAGAGTACACCGAGTATTTCCGTGATGTTTGCATAAGCATCAGCTGTTATGTAATATTTTGAATGGGGTTATTGTTGTCTCCTTGGTTGCGAAGGTCTGGATATGGATGCTTGTACTGTTGTCCACTGTCTGAAGTGCTCTCTGGTTACAATTTTCTCCTATGTAACTGTTTCTGTGGCTATAGAAATATTTCCACTTATTATTTTGCTGAATTTTCCTTTACAGTGTGCTACACATGCTCGTTCTTCCATATTAATACTATGTTGTATAATTCTTTACTTAACATGTCTTGTTAATTTAACTTGATTCTAAAACTTTGATTATGTGTATAAATTTGATGTTTTATTATTATTATCATTATTATTATTATTATTATTATTATTTCAAGAAGTTATAGTTTTTGTGATTGTTTACATGGAGAGCTGATGATTTCACTTGCATGATCTACATTGGAATATTGATCAGTTCTCGAAAGTAACTGGAAGAATAAAAGATCTGATTTCAGCCCTTCCTTTGGCAACTAAAGAAGATGATACAGAAGAAGCTGTGGCCCTAAAATATGAGACTGGCGAGTTGAATGCTGGTGGACAGCTCAACAAGGAACTCTCTCCTGTTACATTTGGGGAAGAGGCTGATGACCCATTTGGACTGGATGCACTGATATCAGAGGAAAAAACAAAAGGGAAACAGGTGCCATTGTCAAATGCCGTAAAAGACGATGAACAACGGAGCAGGAGATTTCTCAAGTTACAGAGAGAGGCTTTGGTCAGCTGTTTAGAGATTGCTGCAAAGAGATACAAAATGCCATGGTTTCTTTTACTTCTCATTTACTATTGTACTATTGATTATTCAAGGAACACTGAGGGGGGATTGGTAAGCAGTAAAAATCGATTTTGATTTGATCCTGAGTTAAAGTGAGTTATTTGGATACAGTTGATTGAGTTGAATGAGAGAGATTATAATTAAATAAAATTTAAACCGTAAAAAAATTTAAAACATAATGATAAAAGTTAATGTGATGTAAAAGTAAGAGACATGATTGAAGTAATAGGTAGTTATGTGAATAAATGACTAGTGAATTAAATTTGATATGATGTAGGAGAGTAATGATTGATATTATTTAATTATATTGATAATATTGAAGATAGTGAAGTTGAGTTATTTGAGTGAAAATGAGGAAAAAAATTCTATAACTGCTTACCAATCACCCTGAGAAGTTTTCTTTTTATTTATTTTTAGTAATGTGGATATCCTCATTATATTGCATTTATTTTTCTTAACAGGTGCCAGACGACCATTGACATCTTAGCGAAGCACGCATTTGATAATATTGCAAGATTTACAACTCAACAACGGGATGCCATTTCGAAGCTTTGGGCCTCGATTAGGGAACAACAAACTCACAGAAAACAAGGAAAGTCCGTGTCTGGGAAACTTGATGTAAATGCCTTTGAATGGCTTCAGCACAAGTATGCGAATGACAAGATCAGCATTCGTCATTCAGTCGGAGGCAGTGGAGATCGTCGTTGTCAACAGTGGCTTGGTTAATGTCAT